TAAGATATTCTCTTTTTTTTTCTCAATCAGGGTGAGTGATACTTGATATTCTGCTTGCTGCTCCAGAGTAAACTGACATGAAGGTAATAAAACGTAAAGATGTTTTGCGTATGCGATCTAAATTCAGAATGTTGCTCCTTTACTCCAGGCTTGCCTTCTTGAAAGTCGTCTTTCACGACTTGAAATCAATGATATGTCACCTAAATGAAGAGTTAAAAACAACAGAACAAGACCAAACACATGAAAACAAATCAAAGGCGGAAAACACACTTTGCACAAAATTGCGGGAGGTATTTTACCGTTGGTCTCACATTTGTCTTTAGAAAAAGCAATACATTGAGGCACGAGTGAGACATTTGGCCACAAAATGGCTGGCAATTGTTTCAGGAAGTTCGGGTGATATCTAAAAACCTCACTACACGGACATCCGATGAAAAAAAAAATTCGAAGGAGTGAATGTTACTGTGCTCAAGCGCTGTTCGCTCGTTAACCTCAAGATAGGTAAGACTCGGCTTTAATCATCAAGCTACAGGAACATATAAATTGAATAGTGGTAGAAGTGGCCCATATTGTACTCAGTTTAGGCCTGAAACTTTAATCGGCTAAGCTTTAGGATTTGCTGCTTAAATCTAAAAAAAAGTTGAGAGAGCAAACGGATCGAAAAGGCCATTTGTTAATGTTTCATGCAATCAAAGTTGACTTAGTGATAAGGTGGATCTGAGTCCCATGTGCTTTTATGACGTTTTTTGATGTGATAACCACTTTGCAGTAAAATTAGAGGAGCCAACAAGCGTGGTTTGAAATTGTCATCACTTAACCAGAAATTTACAAATTCAGTTGATACCTCCATCTTTCAGTAAGTGTCTAATAATAATGTATTTATTTTAGTTATTTTTGTTTAGCAACTAAAAACTACTAAGATTACACAAATGAAATGGATGTGTGTATGAGAGTTTAATATTATTGGCAGAGCCTGAGGGGCAATATGAGGCGAATTCTGTGTTCTAATTGCCCACCCGAGAGGGCCCATCTTGCCTAAAGGGGATTTCCCACTTTGATTAAGCGCAAGAAAAATTACGATAAAATATATAAAATTACTTCGAACATACAAAGAAGTGTCTTAATTTTTGGACAATACCGGCGATAAGGTCGCAAAAAGGGGCAAAATTATCAAAAGACAGTAAAAAAAAACGATAAACTTTAACGATTCTCGTAGGTTTATTCGCTACAAGCACGAGAGCCTCCTTTCCAGTCTTTCGAAATGAAGAAGTGTTGATTCTTAATAAAACGATGATCTTTTTGTTTTATCATAAATCCTCTATTGACTAAGCTTGTTCGGTCTAGATGGCTGAATATTAGCCTCATTCTTTTTTCCGTGTTATTGACCTCGACTTAGTCTCGTCCATGAAAGCGCAAGAAAGGAACTCGGCCAATATCTAGCTCACGTGACCTCACGCTTGTTTAATACCGCATATATAGGATAAACTAGTAAGATTGTCATTTTTCACTAATATTGATTTTAAAAATAATTTTATTTTCCTAAAGAGATGCCTCAGCCACAAATTGTTTCCCTATTAGTGATGTCACTTGCGGTACGATGCCTAGGTATGTTGACACTTCATTCTTATCGCCTACGCATAATGTGTTACAAGTCTTATCAGATGCCTCGAGCTGAGAAAACTCTTTAAGGTGGCCAATTTACGTTATAAACTAAGTTTATAAGAAAAATTGTGGGTTGTGTGTGAGTTTATATGCAGAAAATGGAACTAAGCTATAAGTGAGAACATGGTGACGAGAAAAACAAGAATAACTTAGGTGAATGAAGAGCGTTGGCTGACACCGTTGGAATTAAGAGTGAGCACATGGCAGTCTGCGACCTTCCTTACAACTGAGCAGTTTCGAAAGCTGCAAAACTCTTGAACAATTAGTTATCTTTCCAATCGGAACTCACTGACATGGAAACTCAGTTTCTTTGGAAACTGACCTACTTTAGCAAATGATAAATAGCCTGGTTTCTGCAGGGCATTTAGGACAACTTCCAACTAAATATCACTCGCAACTTCGCCGTTGGCGATATGAGTGTTGAACGCCCCTGATTTTCAATTTTCACTAAAAAGTAACGTAACGTTAAAGTTATCAATATCGGTCCAATTAGAACGAAATTCAATACTAGCAAGATTTCCCCCAGACACACCCTAGAAATATAGTGGTAAGGAACCTAAATTGTTTCACTCTACAAATGCAGTTATAGTTTATTTATCGCTGACAAGAATTCTCAGCCCTTATTTCAAATCAATAACTACTGCAATAACTGAAATTCCTGATAATGAACGTCTCTGAACGAACTTTTTCCTTTTCCAATAGATAGTAGTACTGACGATAATTACTGACAGTATTGATTAAAATTCAAATAAAGTTTATAATTCATATGGACTAATACTCTTATAACAATCAGGGACAGTCCTTTACTAAGGAATCTGCCTGACCACTCTATGTACGAATAGATTGAAACAACTTGCAAGATGATTCTTTTCTTCAGTAAAAAGTTTCATCCTTTTTTTCCTTTTTACGTGTCTGCGTGCTGTTATCCCGTGTTTGATAGGAATGATCTTACTATCTTCATATGAATGTTTTTATCAAACACGCGGGGACAATATATTTATTAGCGAATCTAACCTTTGACCGAATGTGACATGTTCCTTTTCATGAGGACATAGTGCAGTAACTACTGTAATATGCAGAATTGATTAAGTTCTAATCACGTCCTCATAATTAATCTATCTTATAATGTTCACCGCGCCCATGAGAGCCAATCAAATGGCAGGAATCACCAGTGATTTCGAAATACTATCATTATTGATATAAGAAAATAACCTTTTCTTTACATTGTATCACATTATATTTATTATCATTTAAGTCTTCTGTATATTCTTTGGTGCGTGAAAGTGACTTCTTTAATAATACAAAAGGAACTTGATTTATTTTCATATTAATGCTATCTGACCAGAATGGTATTAGTTCAAAGTATCAGCCTGGCTATTTTGATGATTTGCATTTATTGTTGACATGATATTTTATGAGCATCCTGAAGAAGAAGAATAAACCCATTTTACTTGCGAAAGGTTCTCCTTTTTTTCAATTGAATCTTCTTACTTTTATTGAGAATTCTATCAAGGATTCTGTTAACTCTTCAATATGAGAATAAATAAAATTAACTTTCGAGGTGATTACTTGCTTTTAACAAATTACAACTGACAATTAATTTGATTGACAATTCTATCAAGGATTCTGCTGAGCCTTCAATATGAGAATGAATAAAATTAATCCCTCAGATGATGACTTTCTTTTAACAATTAATACTATCCTTTTACTTTTCATGTGGATTTTGTGAAACGAATCAGCTCGTAAGTGTCTTCATGCTTTACATAATGGTTAAAGAGAAGTAGGCTTGTTCCTTTTCATTAGGATATGGTGAAATAACTACCGTTATATGCAGTATCGATAAAGTCTAATGATTAATCAATCCTATAAAGATATTACGCCCATGACAGCCGATCAAAAGGGACGGATCATCAGGGATCTCAAGATAATATCCTTATTTATATAAGAAAAATGAGCTTTTCTTCACATTAAATTTATTATTATCATTTAAGTCCTCTAGATATTCTTTGGTGCGCAAAAGCAACTACTTAAAAAATACAAAAATAACCGGATTTCCTTTCATATTAATGCCATAACATATAGATTCAGCCAAGCCTAAAAGCGGAGCTCGCATTTTTTTTCCCCGCACGTCTCAAGGGCACAACGCCTTGCCCCGGCCAGGACTAGAACCCGGGTCGTCCGACTCGGAGCCCAGTGCACTAACCACTGGACAACTGAACAAAGCCGTGGCGTTGGTGTGCCCGCGGTACAGTTGACCACGCATGTTAAAAGTGGCACCTTGTACGGTCGTAAGGTCGTACATCCAAATTTTTTCGGCTTGATGCGTTACTACTATTTTGTATAATTACGGGGCTACGCTATGCGAGCTCCACTATGACCAGAATGGTACCGGTTCAAATATCAGCCCAGGTATTTTGATGATTTATATTAATTGTTGACATGATATTTGATAAGCATTCTAGAGAATGGTAAATTCATTTTACCTTTAAAAGGTTGTTGTTCTTTTTAATTGAATCTCCTTACTTTGATTGAGAACGTTATCAAGGATTCTGATAACTCTTTTATATGAGAATGAATAAAATTAATCCCTCAGATAACTACTTTCTCTTCACAATTAATACTATCCTTTTTTACTTTTCATGTGGTTTTTTTGGAACGAATCAGATCGTAAGTATCTTCATACTTTACATGATGGCTAATGAGAACTTGGTTTGTTCCCTTTCATTAGGATATGCTGCAGTAACTACCGTTATACGAAGTATCGATACAGTTCTAATAACATCCTCACAATTTATTAATCCTATAAAGTTCATCACGCCCATGAGAGCCAATCAGAAGGCATGGGTCACAAGTAATTACAAATTAATATCATTATTGATTTAAGAAAAAGGAGTTTTCTTTATAATATATCACATTATATCTATTATTATCATTTAAGTCCTCTTTATATTCTTTGGTGCGCGAAAGTGACTACTTTAATAATATAAAAATAACCTGATTTCATTTTACTTTCAAAAGGTTATTTTTTTTAGATAAATCTCTTTACTTTAAAGGCCCATTTCCAACCCTGATGCAATGCGGTCGTTTGTTTTTGTTTTGAACCACCTCTTTTGTTTAAATAGCGCCTCTGATTGGTCAGTTAATTTTACTTTGTCACGTTATCTCAAAATACCTACTGCGTTTTCTTCCATGAGTTTGAAGAGCTTGTCAGAATAATTGTGTTTAAAACAGTTCTATACGTTTTAATCCGGTATGGAATCAGATGAATCCATTGATTTAGTAGATTCTGAGGCAGTAAACGCTTATGGATCGGTTGTTGCTAAAGAGGAACAGGAAAATCCTTGCGAGCATTTCGAAGAAGGTTAAAATTTTGATCCACCGCATGTTCATTCATTCATCAATTTTTTTTAAATTGAAGTTTGCCATCTTGTTAAATAGGACCAAGGGTCAGTTGAAGTTTCCTGCCCGTGGAGAGGAGTTTGCGCTCGAAAGAGCGGTCGAGGTTGTTGTCCATGCCATGCAAAGCAGCAAATAAGAATTGTAACGCAAACCGTCAGTGTCGCTGACGTTCCTGCAATGAAGTGACTGAACTTAAAATAATTAAACGTCCGGTAGTCCGATATTTTCCATATTTCTCTTCGAAATCCAAAATATATTTTTATACGAAAATGTTCTACCTTTATTTACAATCCTCAAGCGCTTCCAGGCAGCCTAAAATTTCGAACTTGATATTTTTCGCTAACCCTGTATACAGCCATCCAAACGCTTGACACTTAAAAACTTTACAATGACACGGCTGGACACGATCCTCAAATAACTCCATATTTCTCTTTGAAATGTACCAATCTTTCGTTGGAAAATATTCTATCTTCATTAACAATCCTCTAGCGCTTCTAGAAAGTGAAAAAATTCCAACGTTGTCCGTTTCGCTGACCTTGTACACAGAGTACGAAGAGATCCAAGCGTAACACTAAGAACATTTTCACCGGACACTACCGGACACGGTCTTCGAATAACTAAACGTCCGGCAGTCTGATATTTTCCATATTTCTCTTTGAAAAATACCAATTTCTATTGGAAAATCTTTTATCTTCATTTACAATCCTCAAGCGCTTTTAGAAAGTGAAAAAATTCGAACGTTGTCCTTTTCGCCGACTCTGTTCAAAGAGTACGAAGAGATCCAAGCGTGACACTTAAAAAAATTTTTCTTCGGATCCTATTGGACAAAATTCAAAATACTGTAAGGAAACTGTAAAATGACGAACGGCGAATGTATTTACCACAAAACAGTTGACTATATGTCCAGGATGGCTCTTGAGAAAGACGATTTTAGAAGGTTTTCAGTGATCTGGGAATTTCATGTTACAGGATATTGGGTCGAGGCGTGCGTTGCATCAAAGTTGGAAATGGACCTTTAATTGAGTATTCTATCAGGGATTCTGATAACTCTTTAATTGGAGAATGAATAAAATTAATCCCTCAGATAACTACTCTCTTTTCACAATTAATACTATCCTTTTACTTTTCATGCGGATTTTGTGGAACAAATCAGCTCGTAAGTGTCTTCATACTTTACATAATGGTTAATAAGAACTTGCCTTGTTCCTTTTCATGAGGTTATGGTGCAGTAACTACCGTTATATGGAGTATCGATACAGTTCTAATAACATCCCCATAACTGAGCAATCCTATAAAGTTCAGCACACCCATGAGAGCCAATCAGAAGGCATGGATCGCCAGTGATTTCAAATTAATATCATTATTGATATAAGAAAAAGGAGTTTTCTTAACAATATATCACATTATATCTATTATTATCATTTAAGTCCTCTTATATTCTTTGGTGAGCGGAAGTGACTACTTTATTAATACAAAAATAACCTGATTTTATTTTACTTTCAAAAGATGATTTTTATTTTTTAAATTAAATCTTCCTACTTTAATTGAGAATTCTATCTAGGATTCTGATGTTTCTTTAGGACGAATATGAATAAAATTAATCCCTCCGATAACTGAGGTTATGAGGTAATGGTGCAATAGCTACCGTTATATGGAGTATCGATAAAGTTCTAATAATATCCTCATAATTAATTAATCCTATAAAGTTCATCCCGCCCATGACAGCCAATCAGAAGGCATGGATCACAAGTGATTTCAAATTAATATCATCATTGATATAAGAAAAAGGAGTTTTCTTTACATGATATCACATTATATTTATTATTATCATTTAAATCCTCTATATATTCTTTGGTGCACGAAAGTGACTACTTTAAGAATACAAAAATAACCTGATTTCCTTTTACATTAATGCCATCTGACAAGAATGGAATCGATTCAAAATATCAGCCTGGCTTTTTTGATGATTTACATCAATTGTTTACATGATATTTAATGAGCATCCTGAGGATGGTGAATTCGTTTTACTTTCAAAAGTATGTTTTTATATTGAATCTCCTCACTTTTATTCAGTTTTCTATCAAGTATTCTGCTACCTCTTCGATACGATATCAAAAACTTGAATGAATGGGCAATGCTTTTTTGCATGCAATTTGCGATAGTGGCAGGCACTTCTTCTATTTAGAGTCACTTTAACTTGTCAATCATTTAAATTTCTGATATAAATATAGGTAATGGTAGCTGGTCATCCTGGGGGCCATGGGAGAGGTGCAGCCTAACTTGTGGTGGTGGATCGCAGAGCCGAATGCGCTATTGTACAAATCCTCCCCCAGATGCGGGTGGAGAGCCGTGTCATGGACCTAGTCGCATGAATCAATCTTGCAACACCAATCATTGTCCAGGTAAGAGTGTGTAATCAGTGTTAAACCAACAATCTTTTATTATTTTGAGTATTAATTTTGCTGGTTCCAGGTGCTCCATGCACCTTTAATTTAATTTACATAGTTTTTTAGATATCAATGTTTAGTAGTTGCAAGGTTTTTACCATAAGCTACTATTTAGATTTGGTAAAGTTCTGTTCATGCCTTATCTTTATTTGCTTTGCTCAAAAGGTTGAATGAATCAGCATTATATACACATGCAATTTGCAATATCAATGTAGATATCAATGTTTAGTGGCTGTAAGGTTTCTACCATATGCTGGTATTTAGGTTTTGTAAAGTTTCTTTCATACCTTATTCTTATTTGAAACGGTCAAAATGTTGAATGAATTAGCAATATATGTGAATGCAATTTGCAATATCCGTAGGCAGTTCTTCATTTTATAACATATTTAACTTGTTGATCATGTTAACCTCTGATACGATCGTAGTTAATGGTGGCTTGTCATCCTGGGGAGCATGGGAGAGCTGCAATGTAACTTGTGGGGGTGGATTACAGAGACGAGTGCGCAGTTGTACCAGTCCTCCCCCACAGTTGGGTGGAAGGCAGTGCCAGGAAAGTTCTCTCATGTTCCAATCTTGCAACACGGGTGTTTGTCCAAGTAACAGTGTTTGATCGGTGTTACCATTCAGTGGAAAGTTTTGAGCTTTACAAATAGGAAATGAGACACTAAAAATTACCAAAACTCTTATTACAATAAAAAAAAGGGTTTAAACCCAACCAGATATAAAAGTTGACGAGGCATATCTCTAATAAAGTTTGTTTCAAGTTTTTTCATATTTTTTCCTGCCTTCAATTTGAATGAAAGTTTCAAGCAAAGTAAAAATTAATGATTTCTAAAAAACAACCTGATCACAGTGGCTTCTTCCAAAGGTAAAGTTTAAAGTTCTTTCCTAACTGCTTGTTCTTGATACATGTTTAGTCAATGGTGGTTGGAATGGGTGGAGTCCCTGGAGTATTTGCACTAAAACAGTCAGTGGCATACAGATAAGGTTTAGAGAATGTTCCAATCCAAAACCAGCATATGGCGGGGAACATTGTAATGGGAGCAGAGCACTTGTGAGGGAGTGTAACAAAATTTCCCGCTGCCATGAAGGTAACATACAGATGGTAAAATCAGTGCGTGTGAATTTTAATTAAATTGGGTAACATTAATTTAATTGCAGATATCATGGATGGTCCGAAGTCTAATCATAGTTGAACCCTATATTAAAAAGACTAAGTCCTGTCAAAAGCCTTTGCCGTTAAATCTACATCTTAATAAATTGACCTTGTCCAAAATTAGCATTAGCATTACATCGCAGCTTGAATGGAGTTATTTTCATTACTATTATCCTTATCATTCTCACACTCATTATTATCATTAAGATCATCATCGTTATCGTTATTATTATCATCCAATCCCTATCATTATTATTGCAAATTTTTGTTACTTTAGTATCATCATTTATGTTGTTATTATTCTCATTACAGTGTCCACTGTTGTCATCCATAAGCATTTAGCGCTAAATTTCTTCTCAGTCACAACTGAAATATTTAGTTTCTTGATAAAATAGTATGGAATGTCTGATGCGAGCGATATTAAATGTTTTTTTTACTTATCCTAAAAGATACCTTGTAACTTTGGGCTGATGATTAAGTTTCTAAAACACCTAGAATTAGTATCCATATGAAACTAAGTATCTATTTGGGGGAATCATCAGCAAAATAATTGAAATTTGTGGATTCTTGACGAGGGCCTTTCAAGATATGCATATACTTTTATATTATTTCTTTCGTCAGTATTTCCTCTGCGTTTTAAAACGGAAAGGAACCTATCAGTTGGTACAATGGAAATCTATTCAGATAGCAGTTGGAAAAAGCTTTGCACCAGTACCTGGAATAACGTTGAAGTAGATTTGACGTGCATGGTAATGGGATACTCTAACAGCGATGATTATGGCAGATGGTATAAAAACAGTGGCAATGTATCAGAGACATCTACTAATTTCAACTGCACCACCACTTTGACTAAATGTGAAGAAAGCTTCATAAACAAATCGCAATACTGCGAAGGTACTAATCAATTATGTATTTTGGACTCTGTTGTCATATCTGTTTCAGTCTTCTCTTTTGTACATCTTATTCTAGGTACCCTTATACACTTGATCATAATTCGAGCGGTAGACCTCGCCAAAACATCCTTTCTTGCTTTGATGATTGATTATGTACTGGTCCTTTCTCAAAGATTGCTCTTTAAAAAAATATAACATATATGAAAAATTAGGTTGTTTTCCATGGTTAGTTTATATTGTAGTTGAAGGTGTAAAAACGGCCCAAAATTATACTTGAACAGCTGCCCATCAAACAATGCTGGTAAGATGGGTTTTTGATTTCATTTATTGAGGTTAAAACAATCTTTAGTATTTTTGTATGGTCTTTAATTTTTTGCCGATAGACATTTCTGTGAGGTCACTTTATGTGTTCCAATCATTTATTGTTTTTAGCCGTTAGAAAAGGACTTCCATCTGGTTATTCAAAATTTTGTCAGATCAAAATCCATTGTCTAATTTGTAGATTGATTATAGTAACCCAAAAGGTAATTGCCTTGTGGGATATTTATATTATGTGTGTATAACTAGGCCAACGTATTTTAACTTTTTTACTTGTTTTTTCAAAGTTCGACCAGAGGTGAGTGTTTCAGGAACAAGCAATCTAATCAGAGAAGGAGACATTGTGACTTTGACTTGTAAAATCATTCAAGGTCGGCCTAAGCCACAGATAACTTGGCTTAAGAATAACTTATCTCAAGGACACAACACGTCTCTCTCCTTTAATAAGATAACAAAGGAAGACGCAGGTCTATACACCTGTAAAGCAAATAATAGTGGGGGAATTTCCACTGAAAATATCTATATTTCTGTTCAAGGTAAGTTTTCAGCTTTAAAATTTTAAATCATTCAGTTGTGTAACCTGCGGCCGTATGGACCGAGGGCTAATTCCTGTGGGGTTAAACGCTGGCCAGGATCTTCTGTGCTGCCTTCTGGGTAAGGAAATCCCCCCATCTAGTCGGAGGGTTTTCCTCTTGAAATCTCTTTCTTTTTTCAACATTAACTTTAAAATTTCGAACTGCATATCGATATTACACATATGTACTGCTGGTTAGCTGAGCAAGATCATTTTTGTAATATCCTCGCGGATGAAAGTCTTCACTTGCATGGTGCCTAACTCTCCACACAGAAGTATTATTGAACTGTTAAGAAAAATGAACAATTGGTAAGTGGTAGTAATTAATTTCCGTTGCTTGATTCATGAGCGAGGAATCTCTCGCGGTATCCTTTTATTTTTTATATTTCATCTTTTAAATTTCGAATTCCAAACGGAAATGATACGCGTGTATTACTGGTTAGCCGTGCTAATAAATGAAATATAAGTCGGAGATGGCGATTAGTTTAAGGGTCGATCAAAAATAACCCAGAGGTTGTAAAGAATGGTTTTTGTAATAACCGTTTTGAGATTGATTTTCGAACATAATTTTGAAAATTGTATAAGAAAATAAAGCCAATGCAAGCAACTACCTGGTTGGGTTTAACGTATCCTGGGAAAATGATGAATTCTTAGAAAGATAATTGTTGTGCGCGCATGTGCAATTCACCAATTGTTTGGGGTGACTCTTTGATATAATCGCTTTGCAACATTTGTTTTAATGGTCACTCTGCTCATTTTGGTCAGGTAACACCATAGAGACTTTTAACAAAACTCTTTTGAAGCCAGGTTTCACCTTAATTAGCACCATTTACCCTACAATTTCCGTTCAGAGGGTTGCTTTTGGATTCTTTCGTGTCCATGATAATTAAATTGCTAAGATATTATCAGTGAAGCTGTTTTTGACTAAACTGATAATTGTCTCTTTCTCAACACAGAAAAACCCACTGCTCGAATAAGGCCAAATTCACAATCAATACTCGCCACAGATGATGAGCTCACATTAACTTGCAGCGTCAATGAAGCAACAGTAAATATCACCTGGAAAAAAGATGGAGCCCCAATGAAAGAAAGGGCAGTCATTGATACGCAATTGGAGGAGACAACAAGTTATCTGAATATTTCAAAGGTTGTGAAAAACGACAGTGGGAATTATTCATGTGAAGCTCGTAACAGACTAGGAGATGTGGCCCGCTCGACTGTGATGATAAAAGTCAAACGTAAGTGTATATCATTAACCATTAAAGGTAATTGGTTTTTAATGAAACTACTCCTTCTTCTATTCTTTTTATTAAGGAATTGTAAATCAGAATTTACAATATGGCTTTTTAGTAGCAGTAACACCAAGTTGTAAAGACTCAAATAATTTGTTGCAATATCATCATTCATGATTGTTTTTTCTATTCGGATGTTGCTGTCGGTCTATATCCAAATTTCAATAATTGAAGGTCGTTTTTCAATTCAAAACAAGATTTGAATGGTGCAGCTCATCTGCACGTAGTTATAATTTACCTTTTCATAAGGTAATGAGCAGGCAAAAATCTAGCTTAAAGTAGTACGCCGTCCTTTGTAGTTGCAATTACTAAAATTTAGAAGATGAGATCATCACTTTAATTTGCTTTGTCGAATGTTTCCTCCAACTCCTAATGAGTTAGAACTTACATATCGCGCTCAGATTGATGGGAAGTCAAATTTTTCAGGTAAATGGCAAGAAGATGACAAAGGTTTTTGAGTTATTAAAATAAATAAATAAATAAATAAATAACTTTACGGTAGCGTATAGACTGGTATGTTGCTCACATCAATTAGATCGTTTAGGGTTTGTATCTCGCACCAATCAGATCGCCGCATTAGGGTATGTATCTCGCACCAATCAGAGCATCGCTTCTGTTCTTTAGTTTGGGGGGTGTTCATTTAAAAGAATTGACGGGGGACTCGTAAAATGGAATCACCATTTAGAATGAGAAATATTGGCTTCTCTGTGTTTCGAACGTGTATTTTACCGCGCTTTATGAGAAATACGATACTACTGGACATATGAAACACATCAGATTACCTATAGTGAACGTGTTTCTCATGCTGTGGAAATGGTGGTTAGTTGTTCGAGAGAAAATGGAGTTCTGCGCACTGCAGCACGATCATGGTTATTGTTTCTTCACGGCGAGAGTGAGTGTAAAAATTTGAATCAAATATTGCTAGAGGTGTTGATGAACTACACCAAACATTTTGATTTGAGCAGTTCTTTAACGGCATGCTGTGTTGCAAGATTCATGATTTGTTGAGTGTGCCGATTATATTTTTCTGGATTGGTTTGCTTGGTGCTATCTCTAGATGAGTGTCTGATTAAAATTACCTATGGCCGATTTTGTTTGCCTCTTAGGAAGCTTTGTCGCCTCGTGTGACATCGTGTTTGATTGATATGCAATGTTAAGAGGTATTTTCATTGAACAACAATTTTTCTACAAAAGATGGCTGGTTTGGTTGAAGTCAAATTCATGGTAAACATCGTGGTGTGATCGGGTCTTTCGATGTTAGAAGTGTGTTGCAAGGTGGATTTTGTATCATTATTGGCTGTTGAGGGAAATTTTTTGGCTGTTTCGAGGGTACTTTTGAGAACACTGGACGAATGCAATTGTTTTGATGCCTGGAGAAAGTGATCTTGTCGAGTCGTTTATGTTTGGCCAAGGACGAATTCAGATACCATCGTTAGCATGTTTATTTGATTCTGTAATCTAAAATGAATGATTTACCGAGGAACGCTAATATGATGTGATCTACTCACATTGAAAATATATCAAGTCGAAGGAACAGTTTTGGTCTCGGTCCGCATTTAAGTCGACAAAATAAACACATACCGCTTAAAAAGATGATGGACCACGTGCAAAGCTGTCAATTGTTTATCTAATATTGCGCGTGTTAAATATTCAATAGTGACATCTCATTTACGTCTACATCTACTTTTATTAAGTTGGTAACATCTGTACAGACATCGCAAAAACCAACTCAAACGCAAAGTAAGAGGACTATATGAAGACATGAAATTATATTAAGAACGATTTTGATCAAGAAACGGCCCAGGAATATTGCACAATAGTGCAAATTATCGTGAAAGTTTATCGCGGAAAAGCGATTGCGTGACGCTCGGTAAGTTGTAAGATGACATGTTATCACATACTAAGCTAAAAAAACACTTCAAATTCTCAGTCTGCATTTTGTACCCAGTCTGCAGTCTACATTTTGTACCTGGTCTACATTTTGTATCTGGTCTGCACTCTGCATTCTGCAGCCTGCAGTCTGAATTTTGCACTAACAGGTATCCGTGGCACCAAATACAGTTTATATAATAAGCTCAGTTATGCATGCATTCTAATTGGTTCTCACTTATGATCTATTGGAGGACAGATGTATAGATGACGTCATCATTAAAACTTTTTTTAATTCTTTATTACATAAAACAAATAGATTCCAAGTTGACATGCGTCTGTTCAGTAGTAGATCACAGAGGACATCAAAATTTGGTAAGAACATCAGTGACACACTTGGCTATGCCTCATGTGCCACTTTTTTGTTCTGACCACATTTTGACGTCATTTGTGATCTATTACTGAACAGATACATGGCAACTTGGAATCTATTTGATCATTTTTGGTAACAGTTATTTGCACAACACACTCAATCGACCACAACATACCTGTGTGTGAGTTAATTCAACATTTTTGTTCTTTTCCACATTAACATTCTCTCCTTTTGTAAAAATGTAGACATCACTTACAATATTTTAATTAATCCACCCATCCCAAAAAATAACACTTGCATGCATAGCATGCCTATGTTTTATTCTTGAGTTAACCAAGCAAGTAATGTATTGATAGCAACAGGTTGCAGGTCATCACAACCATTCATTTGATTGCAGTGTTTACACCCAAGATCTAGATCTCTATGTACCTGTGACAATTATCTCATCGTAACTCTTTTTAATTTTTCTTTATAGTTCCACCACATTTAAATCCTGAACTCAAGAATCTTTCAGTTCCACTGAACTCCCCACTTGAAACAGACTGTTTTGAAAAGGGTGATCTTCCAGTATTTGTCAACTGGACCAAGGATGGAAAAGCTCTTGGTAACAGCAATACATTAGTTATTAAGCGGGTGACTTTTGATGATGGAGGTTTCTATGAATGTGCTGCTGAAAATCTGGTTGGAAAAGTTGACATCTCCTTCTGGATTGATGTTACTGGTAAATCAAAATCATTTTATGAAGATTTACAAACAGTGCTTTGTTAGTTCACATTATAGAGCACTGTACTACCAAGCAATAGTTCAAGCCCTTGACCAGACTAACACAGGGTCTAAAATAGATGAGGAGAATATGCTACCTTTGCTATGACATTGGCAAATGGATGGGCATTCTAGTTTCTTGGATAAGGAGGATAAACCAGAAGCCCCATCTCTGGCATCTTCTCTGCACTGGTTAGACGGGGACTTTAATGAACCCACAGACTTCTTGCAAGGAGTGGGGAACGTAGCTCCCAGTGTCGAGGTCTGGCCTTGTCATTGCAGCTTTGAGCTAAACTGGGCCAGCCTAGTCAAATATCCCATGTTCATACATACATACATATTCCATTTTACTTTTGCATTTTGATCTTTTATCAACATTGCTGAAGCTGAACTCAACTTCAAAGGAAAAGATAGTAGCTTTTTGGAGATGCTTTTGTTTATGTTGGACATTTGAATAGTATTTCCACAAGCCAAGTTTATTCATTTGATTATTAATTTATCTTTCATTTGGATACGTAATTCATATTGATATCTTTACAGGATATGGAAACTTACCTTCTGCATACGAGTATAAATTAATTTTTTTATTCTAGTAATGTTCCCTAGCTATTCCAATGTACAGTATGCTGGTAATTTTTTTACCTTAAGAAATTCATGTACTTAGAAGACTCCCAAATTTGCTCTTACATCTAATTACTGCCAGATTACTTGTGGTTATTCAGTTGTATCTTGAGAACCTATGTTGAACATCAGTGGTGCTCTTTTTATTTTCAGTGTCTCCTGAGATTTTATTGTCTCCGGTACACCAATCTGTTATTGATGGAGACCCAGTCAACTTTACTTGCCGTGCCACAGGTGTTCCTAGACCAAAACTTACCTGGACATTGGATGGCCAAAAACTTCCATTGGGTATTAATCAAAGGAAATTTGAGAGAGACTCATTCTTGGAGTCATTCCTGGAAATGCAGAGAGCAACAAAAGAAATGGCAGGAACATACAAGTGTACAGCAGAAAACAAAGCAAATAGAACAAGTTATTCCACAACACTTCAAGTATTTGGTAGGTTCAATAATAATAATGATTATGATAATAATAATAATACTGACTGGGATGATGATGATGATTGTAATAATGATAGTAATAGCAATCTTAATTTTAATAACCATTAAGGTAATGATGGTGATGGATCCACTGCAAGAATAATAATCAATGATACCTTCCTCGCAAAATATGAGGTGAAACTGGTGGCTAGTGGCTAAAGGTTGCCCAAGAAGATTGCAGTGTTTACATTCAAGATCTAGATATCTATGTACCTGTGAGGATTATCTCATCATAACTCTTTCTGATTTTTCTTTATAGTTCCACCACATTTAAATCCTGAACTCAAGAATCTTTCAGTTCCACTGAACTCCACACTTGAAACAGACTGTTTTGAAAGGGGCGACCTTCCAGTATTTGTCAACTGGACCAAGGATGGAAAAGCTCTTGGTAACAACAATACATTAGTTATTAAGCGGGTGACTTTTGATGATGGAGGTTTCTATGAATGTGCTGCTGAAAATCTGGTTGGAAAAGTTAACATCTCCTTCTGGATCGATGTCACTGGTAAATCAAAATCATTTTATGAATATTTACAAACAGTGATTGGTTAGTTCACATTGTAGATTGCTATACTACCGAGTGATAGGTCAAGCCTTGAACTGCACCAACACAGGGTCTAAAATAGATGAGGAGAATATGCTACCTTTGCTATGACATTGGCAAATGGATGGGCATTCTAGTTTCTTGGATAAGGAGGATAAACCCGAAGCCCCATCTCCTGCATCTTCTCAGCACTGGTTAGCAGGAGACTTTAATGAACCCACAGACTTCTTGCAAAGAGTAGGGAACATAGCTCCTGGTGTTGAGGTCTAGCCTTGTCATTGCAGCTTTGAGCTGAACTGGGCCAGCCTAGCTAAATATCCCATGTTCATACATACATACATACATACATATTCCATTTTACTTTTGCATGTTAATCTTTTATCAACATTTCTGAAGCTGAACTCAACTTCAAAGGAAAAGATAGTAGCTTTTTGGAGATGCTTTTGTTTATGTTGGAAATTTGAATAGTATTTCCACAAGCTGAGTTTATTCATTTGTTTATTAATTTATCTTTCATTTGGATACGTAATTCCTATTGATATCTTAATACAAAATGGACAATTGCCTTCTGCATATGAGTATAAATTAATTTTTTTATGCTAGTTATATCCCCTACAGCCCCTGTAGCTATCCCCATGTACAGTGTGCAGGTGATTCTTTTACCTTAAGAAATTCATTTCCTTAGAAGACTCCCAAATTTGCTCTTACATCTAATTACTGCCAGATTACTTACATACAGGGTGTTACGGAACCCATCAAGAGAATTTTGAATAGCCACAACATTAAAGTTGCTCAAAAACCTTTTCAGACTTTGAGGCATATTTTTGCCAAACGTAAGGATCCTGTCACGAAAGAACAACAAACTGATGCCATTTATTCTATTCCTTGCAGTGACTGTGACAATGAATACATCGGACAGACCAAACGTCAGTTTGGTACACAGTTAAAAGAGCATCAAAAAGCAGTTTTTCTTTGCAAAAAGGAAAATTCAGCTTTATCGGAGCATACATGCCTAACCAACCATACAATTGGGTGGGATAATTCTAAAATTATCACCGCTAATCAGCGTTACCACCAGCGCCTTTGTTTGGAGGCTTGGCATATTAACTCCGCCCACGCTCCTTTAAATCGTGATGATGGCGGTTTGCTTCCTGACGCCTATTTACACCTCGTCAGAAAAAAGGCCACTAATTAGTGATCATATAAAAGGACCTCTTGTTTCAGCGTTTAGATCACCCCTGATGAAGGCACTAGACAGGAGTGTCGAAACGTTGGGTCTATGAATTGTAACTTCTTCAGTTACATTCATTAAATCTGCAAACCAGAGTAGCATCAAACTATGTCTGACTGCCAGATTACTCATGGTTATTCGATTTTATTTTGAAAACTTATGTTGAACATCAGTGGTGCTCTTTTTATTTTCAGTGTCTCCTCAGATTTTATTGTCTCCGGTAAACCAATCTGTTAGTGATGGAGACCCAGTCAACTTTACTTGCCGTGTCACAGGTGTTCCTAGACCAAAACTGACCTGGACATTGGATAGCCGAAAACTTCCATTGGGTATTAATCAAAGGAAATTTGAGAGAGACTCATTCTTGGAATCATTCCTGGAAATGCAGAGAGCAACAAAAGAAATGGCAGGAACATACAAGTGTACAGCAGAAAACAAAGCAAATAGAACAAGTTATTCCACAACACTTCAAGTATTTGGTAGGTTCAATAATTATAATGATTATGATGATAATAATTCTGACAGGGATGATAATGATTGTAATAATGATAGTAATAGCAATCTTAATTTTAATAGCCATTAGGGTAATGATGGTGATGGATCCACTGCAACAATAATAATCAGTGATACCTTCCTCACAAAATAAAGGTGAAACTGGTGGCTAGTGGCTTAAGTTTCCCAAGAAGAACTGACAGCTTGTTAAGAATGAGATGGAGTCTTGATACCCCTGGAATTTCCCCAAGACAATAGAGTCAAAGATTGCAAATACAAACTTATGTTCCAAAGAAAAATACTGTAATGAATTGTGGGAAAGATATTTGTTGTGCATGCACCATTTACTAGTTGTTTAAGATGACTCTTCCATATAATCACTTTGTGACATTTTGTTATGGTCACTCTGATCATCTTGACCTAAAAGCTTTTGATGACTGCAATTATTTGTAGCTTTTTATGGGGAAACATGTCTTGATAATGAAAAACAAAGGGCAGGGTCTCAGTTTATTTATTGTAAATTCGGTTGAATGGGGTCTGAGACCCTTTGGCAAATCTTCAGAAACATTTTGGGCAAGTATTTCAAACCCTCTTTGAAATCTTACTAAGGTATTTTGAGTAATTTTTTTTTACAAAAACCAAGTTATGTACACAGTATCTCTTTCTCAACACAGAAAGATCCACTGCCAAACTAAGTCCAAATCCATACCCAACCATCACTCAAGGTGATAAACTTAGCTTAACTTGTAGCGTCAACAAAGCAACAGTAAATATCACTTGGAAAAAAGATGGAGACCTAATAAAAGAAAGGGCAGTCATTGATACACAGTTGGATGAGAGAACAAGTTATCTGGTCATTGCAAAGGTTGTGGAGGAGGACAGTGGTGAATATTCCTGTGAAGCTCTTAACAGACTAGGAAATGTGGCCCGCTCCATTGTCATGATAAAAGTCAACCGTAAGCTGGCGTTATTGTAGTGTAGAAACAATCTAAAATTTAACAGCAATAAATCATTTGACTAAATGGAACCTGAAACTTTTAAGCATGCTATTTGCTGTTTTCTCTATGTTTGTTTGTTTGTTTTGTTTTTGTTGTTGTTTTTTGTGTATGAATGCATGTACGGATGTTGAGTGTAAGCCTGTAATTAAAATATGGGTCCCCTGGCCTGTAAGATGCAATAGAACCTCCATTTCAATACCCAAATAATTATCATCGTTATTTGTTTGTTTTCTATTTGGCAAAGGGAATTGCTCTCTATCCATTTAACAAAAAGGCAGGTTATTTCTTAACTCAAAACAAGATTCTTGCTAGGTCTTCTCCATATAGTTCTGATTTACCTTTCTTTGAATCTCTGCCATAAAATAGCAGCCATTTCTAATGAGCCAGCAAAGCTCTAGTGAAAAATAGTATCCAGAAGAGCTAGCTAATACTGAGTAACAACCTTTCCCTTCTCATCACATGTCCTACTTTTTTTATTTGGCTGAGAACCATGCATTTAACTTACACCAACAGCTGTGAGTTCATTCCTGGTGTGGTATTATATTGTTGGATCAATGGCTGCTGTCATTGTTATTTTGCTCATAGGCTGCTTTTCTTGGAAACGTCAAAGGACAGGTAAAGCTCATTCTACCTATCTTGTTTAGGGTAATTTTTCTAGAGAACAGTACGTTGTGTGAGAAGCAAAAATTTGACCAGGTTATGTTTACTTCTACTTCACCTCGTATTTAAATTGTTCTCCTCAAGTTTGCTATTAGGTAGGTATTATTATCATCTCGGTTTGCAGGAAAAAGAAAACCTTAGAGACACTATTGGCATGTTTCTACCGTTTCTTGTCTTGTGATTATATCTAATTTATAATCTTCTATTAACAATTGACCAATGTGCATATAACATTTTTATTTTAATACTCAAGTTAAGGCAGAACTTCTTTCCTTTTTTATTCCTTTTTGATTTGCCATTTGGACCTACAGCACCTGCTACGGTCCTGTAAGTCAATTAGTTTGCCTTCTATTTACTAAATTGAATTTTTAAAAAAAATTTTTTTTTTTTTTAAATGAAGTTGGGGTTTAAATTTTACTCTCATGTCAACCATTCCATTTGGAAAGTTAACTTGAATGATAGTCTGCGTGAACATTTAAGTCTACAATTTTAGTTTTTCTGCACAAGAAAATGTTGCTTTTTTTATCTTTAGTGGGATTATTTTTCCATAAATTGAAGAAATCAGTCAAATAATTTTTGAAACTCAAAACTTTTCCATAACTTCTTTTCCTTGATCACGTATACTTTGATTTATCAATAGAAATTGTATGATTTTCATAAAATTTAGTCCTGATCAAGGGGAGGCAGTTGAGATGGAGCTGTTGAATGTAGAAGTGGATGAATGGGAGATTGAAGTGAACCGTATCCTGCTTCAAGATGTCATTGGGCGAGGGGCATTTGGAGCAGTGTGGAGAGCTCTTCTTAGTTCTCCAAATGGGAGACCTGGAAATCGTACAGTTGCTGCTAAATGCTTTACACGTAAGATCCATTCAACTACATGTATCTCTTCTCAAAGCACGTAGATGGATACTTTCTTGCCAAGGGTGACCTGCTTTGCACTTTCCAGTGATCATTTATCTAAGGTAGACTAAGGCGCTCTGAGAGACTCATGCAAAGTTACTTTTTATAATAACAGCAACAATAAAACAATAGAGGCATCGATAGCAATAAAAAATTTGAGGATGGTAAGCATGTGCCACAATCGTGAGGCAAAGGAAATATTAATTCCTCGAAAGGAATCGCTCGCTGACCGGTTCCATTTTTGCAGTTGTGAGCATCATCAACTGGGCTTCAAGGACCTCCCAAGATGTGAGGTATAAATCCTCACCCAAATTTTTTTATTTTCAAGCACGAGAAAATTTGTCAACAAGGATTTATTCCCCGGCTATAAAGAATATCCTTTTATTGTAGCGACCGCAGGGGAGGAAGGAAGAAAATGTTTGATGAGAGAGATCGAGTTGGGAAAAATTCTTGGTGACAGCAATCAGCCAAACATAGTGAAGTTCATTGGCTGCGTCACCAGACAAGGTACATACTAAGTTTAAGGCATCATTCTTATTATATGCAATAACATTTCAAATGAGTATGAGAATGTTAGCTTGTTTGTTTGTTTTTTTTAATACTGATTCGTTTCTTCTTTTCGTTATTTTAAGTCCATCCGATCCTTATCATGGAACATTTGCCATGTGGTGACCTGCTTGGTTACATGAGAAAATGCCGCGGAATTAATGATCGGTATTATCTTGGAGAAGGAAGGCCTCAAGTTTTGAACAACTATGACCTTGTGCTATTTGCCAAACAAATCGCCGCCGGTATGGTATTCCTTGGATCAAGGGGGGTAAGTAACTAAAATGCTTCTACATTCAATTTTACCGCAGAAATATCTGTAAGGGATTGTTACACCTTTTGAGTTGCTTGAATATAGATATATCTAAATTATATGAATTTTTTCGGAAGCAGGTTTCATATTCTCAATATTTCTCAAGAGTTCCTTTGGTATTGTCAGTGGGTCACCTAATGTCGCAGTCATTCTGGTATATGTTTGGTTTGTAATGAACACCCTAGGAACAATAGTTCTTACAACCCGTGCAAACGTCTGTATAATTTTCCCTCTGGTCATGGTAGATCTCACAAAAGATATGCATTTGGTAGCAAGTTTACATTTTGGATCTTTGTCTTTGGGTAGATAATCCATCGTGACCTGGCGGCTCGAAACGTCCTCCTTGATAACAACTATGTGTGCAAAGTGACCGACTTTGGCATGGCATATCAAAGCTTCAAATACGGTCATGGAAATGCCAAAAAGGTAGAAGATCGTCTTTGCTTTAATTTTTTTGCGGTGGCACTTGTAAACAGATTCCTAAGGTTAGCTCTGATTCTGCCTAAAATTCACCTTAACTGCCAACTGAGGATAGCTCCACGTTCTGCCATGCCACAGAATACAATTGAGTTAGTTGACTTTATCATTTAAATTTATGACATTTGCTAAATTTTGACACTCCATAAAAGTCTCGGAAGAGGTACACCAGCCACCTCACGTTTACGTGCATGTCCTTTGTTAACTCGCTAGTATTAAAACCCTTATTTTTAAACAAACTGTCGTTGCAGGGCTGTTTGCCAATCAAATGGACTGCACCAGAGATTTTGTTGGGAAATTTCGCTGGACTTTCCACCTTGAGTGACGTGTATGTATATTTTTGCACTGAGCTGGCCCTCTCTTTAGTTTTTGTCTTTACATGCTCACTTAGAGAATATCTCGGCAACACTTTTTCGAAATTTTTTCAGGTGGTCTTACGGAATCGTCCTGTATGAGATAGTTACCCTTGGTAAGTCAAACTATGTTCAACAAAAAATATTTATACTTCCCGTCCGTCTATGTCTGGAAATGTTGTAGGTATCGTTTTTGGAACTCGTTAGTAATGTCAATGCCTTTAGGACCCAATTGGCAGACGTTAGTTTGATGAGCTGTGGCAGAAAAACTTGTTGTGCCAAAGTTTACCTCAATGATGAATTTTGCTCCGCTTGTCGAAGTTTCATTCTCTGTAACTGAGAACCGTTGTTTCAGGACTTTCCTTGCCCTGGCTATCACCCAAGACGATTGGCATTTTGTGTTCGACTTTAAATGACGAAAAACCTTTCAAATTACTTGGCAGAAAAGTGGTAATCAATTACATAAAACATCAGGCTAGGAAACATCAAGTTTCGAATGCTGCTGTCAAGCACTAGAAGTGGATCTCTCTGATTTAAATCTCAACATTTTTAAACGAAATATTCGGGTGTATCACGGCCACAATTTGTTTATTTCTTCGCAGGAGGAATTCCATATGAGGGATGGACAGAAGGGAATGTGGTTGCACGAGTCACGCATGGATACAAACTTCCAAAGCCCGATCATGTTGATGATAAACTGTGAGTCTTGACTTTCAAGTTGCCATGTTCCATTTTAAATCGCCCAATCCCCCTAACCCCGATGAAAAACACATTCTCTCGTCTAATCTGATTTCTTCTTTCGTTACTGAGCTCTGCTAAATGAAACAAATTTAACAGTGGTCACCAGTTTGTTCAGTTAAAAGTTGTCTTTTCACTCAAGAATTTTGAAAAGATGAATTTGCAGCTATTACAGCCAGACATTTCTCATCATTTTAGCCATTATTTGCCCAGGGCTCTCTTAAGATTTCTGTAATGGTTGATTTTTATCACATATTACATAAACCACAGTCCAGTATTGACCATCATTCCTTTGTTCCAGGTATGCTATAATGAAAAGGTGCTGGAATTTTGACCCCGACTTTCGTCCTCCCTTTGAAAACCTTCGAAGAAGAATGGATACCTACCTTCGTGAAGAGGTTTGTAGCACGATTTGAACAAGTCCTTGACGTCCTTGTAGGCCTCTAAGATTATTTATTCCTCTAAAATTACTTCATAGACCATTGCTCTTTCAAAGTTGGTTTCAGTAGATTAATGGAATTGATTTAATTGATTTAGGATTGTATTGGTTTCTTCTAACTATGGCTGGGGCCGCTTGCGGGAATTTCAGTGCCTTGAGCTTTCATTTTGACGGCTCCTGCTTGTAGTTACGTTTCTTACTATTTGCCCCAGCTTATCGATGTTTTTTAAGCTTTAAAACATTTAAACATAAAACGCGTCCCATGTCCCATGCCTACGAACCCATCTATCACCATTCCTTCTGCCCTTCCCGCTGCTTAGCTTCCCAACTGCCTGAGCATCTACATTCATAATAAAGGTTGATGGGAGAGTATAACAGGGTAATTTGGTATTTTCAACTGTGTTGATAACGTAATTTGGCCACCTTTAAGATTTTAAAAGCTGACGTTTCGAGCGTTTGCCCTTCATCAGCGCAAATAGCAAAGTTCTAACGCTCGAAACGTCAGCTTTTAGACTCTTTACGGTGGCCAATACGTCACGTTATCAACTCAGTTGAAAATACCAAATTACTCATCTACATTCATAACTTCCTACCTACCAACCAACCTGCCTAAGAAAACGCATTACTCTGTGCCTTTAAAGCGAGGATCATTTCTGTGCTTTGAAGTAGTCATTAAAATTTTCTTCTTGACTTGAAGTTAGAGAACATTGTGACGATCATGAAAATCCTCTTTTATTGCTTTCCCCTTTAGACATATCTGCACCTGCTCGACATGGGATCTTATGACACGACCAAATATTCCAAGGTTGAAGATCTCGGAGGTGAAGATGCCGAACCAAGTGCACGACCTCTAGGGAACGCCGCGGCAAAGAGATTAGGAAAGTGGGCCAGCGACCGTCGTTAGACAGTGTCATTTTGAATATTGCTTAGGAACCAAGCACTCTGTAGTGCATAAAGTATTAGAAGAAAATATGTACTAGTGATAACGGTGATAATTTAAGGGCCTTATTGTGTTATAATAAATCAAAGCTGTTTCCTCGATGAGGCACCTTTAAGTCAGTTTTTTCTTAAGTCGCAATTGATAAATAACTCGATTTAGCTGGTAAAGTCCGGATATTTAAAAAAGGAGGTTATTGGTAAAACAAGACGACTAGTTGTTAGCAATCATGTTATTGAAGTGTCCCCTGCTGGTGATATAGTCCTGGTAAGATATTTAGTAGTTAAGTGTTGATTTAGTCATGGATCTTTCAGTAGCGTGTCCTTTATCGACGAGACTGGTGACATGTCTTGTAATATGGTGTTACATGGGTCGTAAATTGCTTAAATTTTGTGTCATTGGTATCAGAAAACAAAAAAAAGGGCATCGCTATCGGTATGTTTACTCTAACTTTCTTGTTGTTATTGTTAAATGCTTTTTCATAAACGGAGAGAACCGTCTCAATAGAGTGATTCTAAAATCAAATTAATCAAGTTATTATTCCAATATTTTCGACTCGTGCAAGAAACAGAGAGCGCTATTCAGAGGGGTTGTGGCTGATAGACAGACCTTTACTATGATGAAATGAACCGCTTACTTCAAAGTGGAAATGTCGCTAGAGCAAGGATGAGCGTTTATTTCTGTACATTATCGAAACACACTAAGCTGTATTTAAAATTTTGTAAAACACTCTATTTGATATCTGCAATAAAAGAGTAGAGGCGTACCTTATGGCGGTATTCACAATGTTATATCACTATTTAAGCCGCTCTAGATATACACAGAAGAAAGAAAAACACCTAATCTTGTATCTCATATACAACGCAATTTTCTTTTAAAGGACATATTTGAACAGTTCGTTCGTAGTTTTTTTCTAATTAGCTCCGAGTTCATTTTACGGGTTTGTTGATGTTTACTGCCTCGTGCAGCTCACGCTTGGACGTAATACCCATATTTAATATGGAAGATAATTTAGTGTTAACAACTGGGTTGAAAACGTAAATTAGCCACCGTAGAGGGTAAAAAAGCTAGCTTTTTTACCCTCTACGGTGGCTAATTTACGTTTAGCTAGCTTTTTTACCCTAAGTTTTTAAGTCCAAATCCGCTGCAACACCGGCTCTCTTTGCGTCAATAGGTAATCTCAGTTCCATGCCAAACATGAGCACCTAGGGGAGTACCCTGTACTCATGCGTTGATACTCGCAATGCAAAGGGAACCTAAGGAAAGTGCTGGCCCCATTCTTTCTGCTCCTCTGCAATCTTGGCAATAACATCGGCAACCATACGGATAAGTAGTTCAGGGCTCAATCAAGTTGCGTAACCAACGGAAATTCCGAGACTAAAACTTTCGACTTTCGTCACGAAGCACTCGACGAGGATAACCAAAGCGGCATATAAAGTCGTCCATGACAGATTGCCCTCGGTCAAGGGATTGGCTCAATTCTGGTGCTACTTGTGTGACACGTTGTACAGTTCATCATTCGTACAAACTATACTGACCAGTAAAAGCGTCCCTAATCTTACGCACTGACAGGTGTCTGCACTCGTCATCTAGCTCCTTCAGCAGATCTCCCTTCAAATACTGTGAGACCCTCGACTGTAGGCTGTGAAAACAGGGTTTTGCCTTCACAATAAACGGACGGACGGGGACAACTCTTAAAAACTCCTTCTGGGTAAAGGCTTTCCTTGGGGGCACTCGCTGGCTGCGGGAAGGAAACCGGAATCTATTACGGCTGCTGACTATCCTTGAGAGAATGACTAACAACAACAGGGTTGGCTTAAACGTAGATTTATTCTGCAAGCTCTACTACAATTTTGACCAGACCGGACCTGGCCAGGGCTGGTTCGATCCCGCTCTTCTCTTCTTCTCTTTTTCCTCTTCCTCCTAAGCTTTACACAAGAGGTTCAAAGTCTACTGGTTCTGTTTTTGTGCTTTTCTCAATGCAGAGGCTTTTAACTGCAAATAAAAATTCATATGTGCTACAAAACCTTGAAGCTCCTGGTCTCTAATGAGCTGGTAACCCACATGTACCTGACTCCTCACGAAGTCTTTTCTCAATTTTTTATATCACATTAAAAAAAAAAATTACGTCTAATTTTTCACAATGTGGCACAAAAACAATGATGTAGCCCCTGTGGCAGGGTGGGTTGAGATTGGACACTTTGCATACCTAATGTTTTCATTTTTGTGACAGGAAAAGAGCATAACTTTCAAAAGAACAAAAAAATATTGCATTACTTCACCATAAGTGAAAGAAAAAAATAATCTAATTTACCTGAATTCACACAGGTAGTTTTTGGTCTGTTGTTTCTATGGTATAATACTTCTATGCAAAAATAGAATGCAGTGGTACCATGCTTATACTGTTGTCTCCTTAACACCCTTTGTTTGATTTCGTCACACAATACAAGCTATTCTTCATTGAAGAGAGAGCGCGTTGCATGGCAAGAGACCAAATAATGGTTGCGAAAGGGACTATGCTTTCTACTGTTCCACTACCAGAAAGAATATCAAAATTATTTGTCTAAAGTTAGTTGCCGTAAAAATATCATTCTATGTAATTTTACTGCAAAAAGCAAACTGAAACTCTGTTGGACAATGCTGTTACTATAAATAATGAAATGCAGGTTATTTACATGGAAATGACACAAGATTGAGCAAAGTCTAATGAGGCAAAATGGAATTTGATGGGTGGTACAATTCAAGCATGTGAAACATTGCCTACTGTTCATGTAGAGCAATGACTGGGCATGTTCTGATTAGATTTTGGATGTTATTTTCATGGTACGTGTTTGGCATGTGCATTGTAAGTAAAGGAGCGGAAAAGACACCTTTTAACTTTAAAAAATGATGCAAAAAGTTAAATGGAAACCTTTCATATCACAAGAAGTCTTGACCTTTTGATGAGGATCTTACGAAGGCCACAAACCATTGCCCTTATCAAATGAGCCCAAAATATTTGATTAATGTCATTATTTGTGCACAGCCCCCTAATTCCATGACATCATTTGCAAGAAAAGCTATGATGGGTACAAGATATCAAAATGTTGTGATATGATTGGTGTAAGATATATACCCCAATGCAGCAATCTGATTGATGTGAGATACATTACATACCCTAATGCAGGGATCTGATTGGTGCAAGAAACATACCATTCCACTCGCTAACATAGATATATTTTGTTATGAAAAAAAAAAAACTCAAAAACCATTAAATTGATAATGCCCATGTTACATTACACTAAACACAATTTCAAGATCTTCCACCATCATCCTCACCATTTGAAGATAGGAATTTTATACTTCCAATGCTCATTAATGCACTAAAGGTGATGATGAATTCTTGAGGAAACATTCCAGTTGTTGGCCAGAAAGTATCAAGGCTTCTATGGAGCAAAATAAAAAGACAATTAGTTCTGTTTTGGCTGATCAGGATGCAGCCATAGGAGTCACAGATGGTTAAAATTTGAGACTCAGATTACTAAGACCCTTGTTTGAAAATGCAAGAGCGTGACTATATATAATTTAAGCTGCTTCACATGACCTCTCACTTTGGCTGTAAGACTTCTAGATGGGAACTTGAGTTGATTCTAAACAAGCTTTTTAGCCATAAACAATTGACGGCTCATGATCTTAAAGGTATCATTCATCAACCTTTGCCTTAGAGTTTTCCATTTACTTATTACTGAAATGTACTATAATAAAGTAAAACCCTGCTAACTTGAAACTTAAACTAACTCAAAGAAGATCCAATTTTCCCTGGATTTGACCCTAACTTTTTCTGTCATTGGTAAAATTTCCACACAGCCCCATACTGTTGTAAAACAAATCTGTTTTCCCAATGGCAGTGTATAGTTTTAGTCATTGTTTTCTCTATCCAAGAACTGAATGCATAATGTAGTATGGGGCTGTGTGGAAATTGTTTCCCTGTCATTAAATATCACCTAACTTAAACCATTTTCTGTTTCCCTTTGGAGTTTGAGTTTGCAGAGTGCTAACATAGTTTTCAACTTTTGTGTGACATTACCAAGTACAGAAAAAAGCAAGCATCTGCAAATATAGCGTTACTCTTCATATCTTTCTTTTCTTAAATCTTGCTTTTTAAGAATAAACAGATCATGCACATTCAAGAGGGCCACGGGTTACCATGACAACTACTATCGTAAAAATGTTCACGATAGTACATGTAGAATGATTAGGTCATGGTCTACCAGTTTAGCAATTCCAAAAAGCATAGCATTACTGGGTTTCAGATAAATTGGAAGTGGTCTTGAAATATCTTAATTGTCCTTATCAAAACCTCAATTAACTTTGCTTGTTTGAAATTTGAAATGTTTGGCAAGATCTTCACCGAACGTAAAATACTTACCCATCAATGATATTTTCTGGTGGATGATTTTCGTCAAATGATGTAGCAAGGGCAATAGTTGCTCCAGCACTACTTAAAGCCACGTCAAACATGTTTTTAGTGCTATTTTCTGAGGAGGAAAACCCTCTATCTCGCAAGTGAGAGGTTCAAAACATTTCAAAATCGATTGCCCCGGAGAATACTGGGCCGAGCTCCATGCTGAATATGCGCAGCTTGGTTTTAATTGCTGACAAGTAGCATACTCATGTTCAAGATGGCGGACGTTCTATGCAGAAATTGTTGCTGGCATTGATAAGAAATGTTTCCACTAAATACGAAACAATTTTCTGCTGCATTCCTGGATGTAAAGCGTAATAGTCAAGGTTATAACGAGGAGGTCAGTTCAGTCGACAGGGATGCAACCAAGAAGCTACTGAGGCCCTTCCATATTCCCCAAATCGGGCCTTCTTCTATTCCACAATGTCATCATCTTGGGACCATGATGTGGAATTTCATGTGGAATTGTGCGAAAAGAGGATGTCATCCGCCCGCTCATCATTTGGAATCAAGAGAAGACTCACGAATGGAATCGCGAAGAGCACCTGAACAATCATGTTCTTCAGTTCTTCCGGAATTTGAATTACATCGTATAACTTCAAAACGTAAAGCGCGAGAAGCAAACGAGCGACAGAGTGCGGAAAATATTGAACTTTCAAGACTAAATAAAACACAATATTTAAACAAGACCTCTTCTACAAGAAGTACTGATTCTTCTCGAAATAATGTTTGTTGTGAGGAAGCAGAACCACAAAACAGAGGTATCCTCCAGCAATCTAGCTGTGAAGAAGCAAATGTTTCCAATGAGACTTTTGTTAATAGCAAATTAAGTAAATCGATAAGAGCATCCCACTGGGATAGTGACATGAAATCTTCAGAGTCTGAACATTGTATTGTCTCAGATTATTTTGACAGAGAATCAAAGTTAAGTCCAACTTGCAATGCACTAAGTGAGTTGGAAACCAAGGCGGATGTTAATGGTACATATGGCAGAGAAAGTTTGCAAAGCGATTTGGTCTGCAATGGTGATTGGTGGCTAAACAGTGAAAATATTTCAAACCCCAAGGATTCGACTGCACCTCTCATTCCTTGTGCATGTAGCATTGAGGAAAGTGATTTTGTTGGCAAAAAGAAATTTTTAGAGAGATTGCTTGAGACAGAGCTGCAAATAAAGCCTTTGACTCCAGTTAAGGATGGCATATATAGCCAAAGGCCAGTTTCAAATACTTTTACCCTAAATCTGAACTTGGAGACAGTGATGTCTGTTCTCTGCACTGATGAGGAACATTCAAAGAATGCTGAACACAGTGATATTGATCTATGTGGGAAGATTTCCATTCTGTATGGCATCCAGGATACAATAGTGTCAGTGGTTGCTAGTGAGGTGGTAGGAATGTATGATTATATTTCAGGAGCTGTGTATGGATTGAAGGGATGCTGTCATGATGAATCTGAATATCAGTTAAAGGTAATATATTCAAGTAGCTAAAGAGTTGGTGGCTTTGATGACCTAACATAAATGAATTGGTTGTATCTGACTCAGGTAAAATATAGAACAGGGTTCTAGTAGAAATGAAGGTCAGTGTCTCTTGTCAGTGTTCAGTCAGTGTTGTGTTGAGACTCCTGCTTGTTTTGTTGAATGATTCTGCCTTCTACAAAAATGTGTCTATGCTTGAAAATTGACTCATAAAAATTTGGCAGATTTATCATGTAGTCTAAGCATTAGTAACTTTGTGTTTTGTCCAGTTCTAGGATGATTCGTCCTGCAATCTATTAGTTACCTTTTGTTCATAGTCAGTTCTCAATCAGGCTTTCCAACCAGTCCAGTTATAAAATTGTCTGGAACTTGTCGTCAAGGTTGTGGGGAAGTGCATGTAGTTCGTCTTTGTGTGTGGCTGTGGACGTTTCACAGTAGCATAGCTAAAGCCAGACATCTTTTGTCAGCTTGTCTTGCACTGTTTCCCAGTGGGCCCATGGAATTGGATGATATATCTCAGTAACTGTAGCTAAGTTGTTAACATATATTTATCAAAATTTCCATAATATTAAAGCTAGAAATGCTGTAATTTCATAAAGTACTTTAATTCAGTGCTGAGAATTTGTTTATCTATGTAGGACAAGAAGTACCCCCTTTCATCAAGTGCAGTGAGTTTGGACCTTAAGGAATTCATAGTTCATTTTCAACAAAAACTGAGAATGTCATCTCACAGTGTTGACAATGACAATGTGTTAAAGGAGCACTCTCCTGTTGCCTGGTTAATGATCTCACCAGCTCTTGGAGTGACCCTTGACTGGCAAGTACAAGAGAAAGTCCTTGAATCTATAGAAACTTTGTCATCAGAGGAATTTGCTGAAGAGCAAGCATCTGACAGTTACAACAAAGGATGTTTTTCAAGCCAGTGGTACAATCTGTTGGTAGTTGTTGACCAATATCGTTGTTGTGAGAAAGATATTCCACTGATTGAGGTATTTGAGTTTTGCAGGAATGGTGAAATCAATGTTGTAAACTTTGACTTAACTTAAACGATTAGTTCATGTGAAACAAGCCTGACTGAAGAATGGAACAATTGAAGTATTGCTGGTAATGCTATGCTTTGATACATGTATGTCATTATGTAAAGTATTGATTATATTCATCCGCAAGGTTTTGTTTTACAGTACATTGTATGAGCTCTCTCATGTAGCAAAAGTTTAACATTTGTTTGTAGCAACTCTCATATTTTTGCAAGATTTTTCAACTGGTATAAAGAGATTAAACTTCCTTTAGGAAGTGTTCAAAGATGAACTTTAACCTTAAACCCCTAAGAGTGATTTACTTCTAATTTCTCCTTACAGTATCAACCTTGATTCAAATGTAAAGGTTATCAGAATGTAGGAAATAATCACCAATTTAAGTAGTTCCTGATTGTCAAACAAATTCTCCTTGTCAGTACCAAATGTAAGGGCAACAGTGTGGAGAATATTGACACTAGTTAGAATGTACAGGGTAAGGAACTCAAAATGAGAATTAAGCTCTTTTTAATTTTCCTTGACTTGGCCAATCAATTACCCAGTTGAAACATTTTGAAGTGAAGGAGGAAAAAAAAGGTGAGGTTACAGTTGTATTTATTAGTTACATAACAAGAAGTGCCATTTACTAAATTTATAGTAAGATCAACATTGTTTGGCACAGTTAAAGTAGACACCCCAAAAGATCTCCATGCGTCCAGTAGTTCCAGTTGCAACATTATGCCATTTTTTTTTTTCGTATTAAAATATGCTGCTCTTATTGAGTATTGTTGTTTATCTCATAATGTACTCACTTCAAATATGGATGGTGATGTTTCAACTGCATGCTAATAAATTTTATTACATAAACTGCAGTGTTATATAGGGATTTCCAGCCCTAAGAAAAGCCATAACAACACAGGTGAAAAAAAATACGTTTTTTTTTCACGAGTGTTTGATATCGCTAATCAGCTGCTTACACGTCACTCGCCTTTTGCACCACTCAGTCATGTTGATGAATGAATGGCAAAGTCCTCACTGTTGTTTGTCAGAATTTCCTCAGATTATGGCTGCTAAAAAACCGAAAAATCCCTATCGCTTACAGACAGTAACGTTCAAACTTTCCTAGAAGGGGAAGAAAATCAAAATGTGAAAAGGAAAAATGAAAGTTATGTATTCAGTGGCTTTGGTAATAATGGGAAAATGGTCACTAAGAGAGTGGCAGTGTAATGTGGCCTTACATGTTACAGAATTATAAAATGTTTGCGTGCATCATGGATTCTCACGGGCTTACGTGTGAAGCCATATCAACAGTACAATAAAGTGGCAAAATTTGGAAGAATGGAAAAATGACGCAACTATTTGCCTTGGTTTAGAGGCAAGTAGAAGAGTTAGGCTTGAAACTTTTTCCACTGACTGTCCTTTGACAGGGACATAAAATATTTAAAATTGCCATTTTAGCAGGATATGTTACAGTTGTAATAATATGTATCGAACAATCTAGATGAACTGTGTTCAAATGAACACTTAAAATTTATGACAGATTTCTACAATTCAGGAATGTTTGGAAGAGATATTTGAGCAATCTGTGGATATAAAAATGAAAACAAGTGTGAGCAGTGCATAAGCCATGCAAGGGCATGAGGCAAAAGCAAGAAAAAAAGGGGAAGCTAGGAAAGGGTAAAGCAAGGCATGGTGTGCCACTGTGCCTAGAGAATCCAGAAAATTCACTTAAATTATTTCACAATGGTCCATAATACAGGTTAGCCCCAGCATTTCATCAGACTTTCCTGACAATTTTTGTTTACCCACTTATACTCCTGTAATATCTTTATGTTATTATTTTGGTTGATTTTAGTTGATTTATCTTTTCAATCCAGGTGGAAGGGAAGTGTTATTTCAGGCAGGTCCTGAACATCCTTGGCTGATCAAGACATATTCAGAGGTAGCCCCACACCCCTGTGCACAAGCTCTGGGCCAAGATGTCTTTCAGAGTGGAATCATACCTAGTGACACTGATTTCAGGATTTACAGGGACTTTGGCTAAGTACCAGGTATCTGAATTATAGACTGACACCTAGAGACTGATTGAATGACTGAATGACTGACTAAGTGAATAAATGACTTATTGACTGATTGTTTGAATGAATGAGTGAATAAACAACTTGATGGCTGGCTTACTGAACAACTTACTGACAGATTGACTGACTGATTGAATGACTGACTGACTGATTGTATGATTGATTGCCTTACTGACTGACCGACTGAATGAATGAATGAAATGCTCCTTAACTGACTGAATGACTGGTTAGTATTTGATCAATTCATTATTCACTGATTACCTTATTGACTGATTGATTGTAATCTTAGTGAAAATCTCTTTTGCATTGAACCAATCTGGTTAGCATACTAATAATTTTCTGATGTGTAGGAATGGACCTTGCCTATATTGCCAATGGTTATGTTTATCACACAAATTACGATACACCAGCTGCTGTTACTCCAGGCTCTATCCAGCGTGCTGGTGATAACATACTGGCTTTGGTCAAGAGCATAGTTAATTCACCATTTCTGGCTGACCCTGGAGAGTATCGTCATGGTTCCATGGTGTTTTTCGACTTCCTGGGAATTTTTGTGGTACATT